GTCACCGTCTTCGAGTCCGGCAGAGGTCCTGGCGGCCGCATGTCACAGAGGAGGTGTACTTCTTTGTTTTTCCCTTTTTTTTTGTCGCCTAACGGTTGTATATGCTGCAAGTTGTGATTTTGTTTAAATTTTGGTTGTAGAGAGCGTTGTGAAGATGGGAAAGAGCTATTGTTCGACCACGGTGCACCGTATTTCGCTGTGAATGCTAGCAATTTAGAAGTGCAGAGCTTGGTGAATGACTGGGAATCAAGGGGAATTGTTGGGGAGTGGAAAGAGAAGTTTGGTTCTTTTGATTTTAGTTCCAAAAATTTCGTCCACTTCGAAGAGGTATGAGAAAAGTAATCAATTGCAGCTAACTATTTTGTTGCCTGTTCCTATTTTTTTATGTTTGTGATTGAGTAAAAGTTGCTAGCAATTTCTTGAATGATGTTTAATAGTGACCTAGTGTCTGTTTCAGTGAAGCTCTCTTGTTTAATTGTGTGAAAAGGCAAATGCTAGTTTGGGCATACAAAAATATACACTTGGTTATGCCTTAATCAATGGTTTTGCCATCTTTTAAAGTCCTACTTTTGTTCTGTAATTGACTGAAAACTGTGAGTGGTTAGGGTATCTATGTGATTTTGAATTAACTTTAGAGTAGTTATGGATTATGATAAGTAGTATATTTTATCTATGATTATATAGTAGTCCTATACAGTTAATTTGATTAATAGTTTTCTATCGTATAAGTATGTAATCCATGTTGGCATTTGGGGATATATGATGGATGATGTGAACTAGTCTATTTCCCTTCGTCTTGTTTTGGAGTTTTATCCACTCGACCAATTTTCGAGTTCACATTGTATCCAATATGATTCAATATGGATCCATATCACATTTGATTCATGTATAAGTAAACAAGTCAACGAATAATATGCCTACTTCAGATGTATCTATTCCAACTGTGGCAATCTTTAGTGATAAATTCCTCCAATTTGTTTCTAAATTAATGCAGGAGGGATCAGACAAGAGATATGTTGGTGTCCCTGGAATGAATTCTATCTGCAAAGCACTATGCCATGAGCCTGGTATGTAATTCATATTCAAATACCTTTTCTTGTTTCCATGTGTATTTTTTTGAAAATAAACTTTCTTTCTTAGGTATAGAAACCAAGTTTGGGCTTGGTATTGGAAAATTAGATTGGTTGGATGGGGATGATTCATGGTCTTTGACAAGCTTGGACGGTCAAAATGTTGGTTGCTTTAAGGGAGTGGTGACATCTGACAAAAGCACATTTTCCTCCAGGTTCAGAAGTGTCACTGGAAAACCCCCACCTATTGGTAAAGTAGAAGAGCTTTTTTTTATCCTTTTGAAATAATGCTGTTCGTTTTTTTCGGGTCCTTGTGTTGCTAGATGGTTTTTTTGTTCTGAAATGTTCAGATCATAGTTATTATTAGAAGGGAAATAATATGCCAAGGGGAGTTCAGCCAATAAGTTGAGAAATTGTGGATAATGACTGAAATTCAATCTACTTAAATATGTGATTGGTAACGACGATTTAAACTTCTCTGGTTCCAACTATGCCTTTTATCTTCCTTTTTCTATCGACTAGTGTCTGGTATAAGGTATATAGTCTCTG